TTCTTGTGCAGCCCGCATTTATTTTTTTGTTTCAAAAGTGGGCTATGCTCCCATCTTTCATCTCCTAGATTTATCAGGAACTATTTCTTCTTGCTTCCATGTAGGCAAATTAGTGTACGTGTGCGTGTGTGGTCTCTCAGTGATAACTGTTCAATAAATTGCTCGCGTACACGTCATATATCTATCATATGTTTTTTTTCTTTCTTTCTTTCTGGATGAGTTAGACTGTGTAGTAGATTAGACGAATGTGCGATTGTTCATTCATTCATTCATTCATTTCTTTTTTTTTCTTTTTTTGAATATATACAGAAAAAAGTGCTGCACTTTGTTTTTTGTGTCTTCTTGCTTATTGTTCAAATCAAATGTCTGATAATTCTTTGCACACGAAAAAAAAAATATCTTGTCTGTTGTTTTGTTTTTGATACCTCTGTGACGAAAAAAAAAAGAAGAAAAACAAAAATCTCAAATTGTTTAATAATATTTGTGTGTGTATGTGTGGATGAACTGATGTCATTTCTTTTTTCTTTGTTTGATTTGTATCGTCTTCATTGGTTGTCGGCTATATCTGGTGTTAATCTTTTTCTTTTTTCTTTTTTTGAAAAACAAACGAGAAAACGATGAAACTTATTATTTCTTGTCTCTGTTTTTTCTTTAACTATTTGTCTTTGATCGATTCTGATGAATAAAAGCAAAATATGTAGTTATATTCAAATATTTTTTCATTGAAAAATAGAAGACTATAGCTATAATATAGATTGTGTAGTGCTATTTAAACTGAAGATAAGTCATTTTTAAGAGAAATCTATTTATTCAGAATGAGTTTTTGATGAAATAAGAATAGGAATAAGTATACTTGATTATTAAGATTTTCTTAGCGAGTTCAAGTACATCGTATAGTGATGGATAAATGTTTACGGAAACTGGATTTTTAAGTTTGCTTTTCGATGGCAATAGCTGGCAAGAATCTGAAAAAAAAACATTTTTATAGCTAAAATGACTTACTTTTATGATTGGTAGAACCGAAGACTTGAGCAAAACTGCTAGAATGAGAATGTGCGGAAGATCAAAGCCCCTCGAAGTAACTTTCTAGCTTTTATTCAAAACTTTTGGGAAAAGATTTTATTTGATAGAGTAAGATAAGGCGTATCTTATCTTTCCATACACTTTTTTCGTCGAACTGCATTCAATTTACAGAAGACTTTAAAGTGTCAAACATGGCAAAAACATTGAAATTATCATAAAAAGAAGAGAATAATGTTTCTTAGGCCTTCTGTAGATTGAATAAAGTGGAGTGAAGGAAGGCTTTGGACATCTCATTTGACTCTATCAAATAAAACATTTTCCTAACAACTTCGAATGGAAATCAGAAAGCTGGTTTTAGGGGTCTTAGTTTTCACAGATCGCCATCCATGCAGTTTTTTGGGAGTGTTCGAATCTACGAATTCTAATAGAGTATCTTTTTAGCTACACAATTGTTCTTTCAGATTCTTGCTAGCAATTACGATCAAGAAAAATACTTAAAAATACAATTGCTGTAAACTTATGTTTGTCAATGTATATGTGTTCGTAATAATAAATTTCACATAGTTGCCAGTTGAGCTACATTTTGTATTTTGATTTAACCTAGACTATACAAAGTCAAAGTATTTTATTGATGTCACGTAGAAACAACAATACAGTGTAATCTTATTTAAATTGAATGATTTTGGTGAAGAATTTATCGTCGACAATTACAAAGAAAAAAGTTCATAGACGAAAAAGATTAAAACTATGCTTAATAATAGGGCGTCTGAACAATTATAAGAGATCTTTTCATTTTGAACACGTTTAATGTCTAACGAAAAAATCTGTCCTAAGAATGGCATTTAATTGCTCTTTTTTTTTCATAGAAGAAGTATACTTAGGTATGGCAAACAATGGACACATTCACATTTGATTTATAGTAGTCACGGAAGGTCCTATTAACAGATAAAATGTACCTAAATTTGAATCTCTTTGGCTGATATTTTTACAAGAAACAGAGTTCGAAGAATCTTGATCGCCGCAGGTTGATCTGTCTTAATGTGTCGAATTCAGAAAAAATGTACACTATTTTTCTTCTTGGACCTTAGAAAAAGCTTTTTGACACATTTCTGGTGTAGCAATTTTTTTGAAATATTATTTTCTATCGTTTTCTTGACAAATAAAACTTCTCACGTCATTACTGTGTCACAAATAACAGACTTCAATCTATAGTGGTTCTCAGATGCACTGGTGTTTCAATCATTTGGGATAGCTATCACATAGACCTTTGCTTTACAATAACTATAATCATGATATTTCTAGGACAAATAATTGAATATATTCGAAATTATATGTTATATATTTTGACGAATTTCATCAACTCTCATGCTAAGAATACTCAAAGTTTACATCATTAGTCAAACAAATTCCAATTGTTTAATAGGAAATTTTTATTAATGAAAGAGGCAGTACTGAACTCTCGAATGAAGTGTCTTACGCTATAAAATTTCTTGTTAATTCTGAAATTATTCTTGTCTAAGTAAGAAAATCTATGTTGGCCTTGTAGCTAATTCACTTGAAGATCGAGCAAAATCAGACCCCTGCTTACAATATATAATCGTCGCGCTCTATTTGTCATCAATATATACAACTAAAGGATTCATGTTTCAATGTTTTTTACCTACTTTCTTGAGCGTCAACGACAACTACAAATAACATACATACCTACCTTCATTGTTGATATGTTTTTGTTTAATCACTAAAAACAATAGCATTTGAATAAACTCTAGCATGAACATTAATTAGGATTTACAGTTATCATTTCTAATTAAAAATATGAACTAGATGAATAAAGTAAACGCTTCATAAACAAGTTTATATATGAAAATATGTACATTATCTATCAAGGAAAAGTTCCGATTACGAAAATTTCAGTAAATTAATTTGTACGGCAACAGATTTATTATCATTCAGAATCTAAAGAAATAATTCTGATATAAAAACATCTAAACTTTCCATGTCGTATCCAAATTTGTAACACATTTATTAGTACAAATCATCATTGAATAAAATTGCAACTATTCTTAATAAATATAATCTCTTAACTATTATATTCATCATGATAAATTCAAAATAATTTTCGTACATTTCCATCTCATCAAAATCAATAAAAGATATTACATAGAACATTTTAGTTGAATGATGACGATATTAGACAAGATATGTAAATATATTCGTAAATTGAAATGATTAATAGTTAATTATTGTATTTATCCTTGGTTCATATTCATTGTCAATTACATTTATATGTTGATGATTATCTAATGAATTAAGATGACACTATTTTACAAATAAGTCTACTATTGAAAATAATTTTTTTGTATTTTTTTAAACGACATTACAGTCTTTATGAAGTAGTTAGAGAATGCAAAACTGCTTTTCAAATAATTAAAGATAATGACGTCAAGGACACATCCATTGGACGAAGGTAACTTTTTTCTGACGAACTATAACTTCGTTGATTGCTGTGAGCATGAAGCGTGACGTTGAGTCATCATAGTACACTCTTAAGTTGTCTTACAGATGCGACAGAAAGGTACAGAGCAACAGAGAACGCAGTTTTTCATGTTTTTTCTATGTATATATTACACTAAGCAAAAGAATAAGAAAAGAAACGAAAAAAAAGTTATACTGTTGATCATGTGAAGTACAAAATCGATTGACGATGTTATTCATTTAAAAGGAACCTACCTTTTGACGAGCGTGTTAGTGTATTGATTTATAATTGTCGACTTCAAATCAACATGGCTCAATGTTTTAATCCTAGAACTCAAAGAATTGAATATTGTTCATCTCGTTTATCGTCTTATATGTAAGGCAATTCAGATTCAACAAAAAAATAAAATAAACGCTTTCTTGTTGTCGTTTTCTATTCTAGTGCTTTGGGAATTATAATACCATCATGCCTTTTGTTAATTATGGTACTTGTGTATATGTATATTCGATATAGACAAAAGCAATTAAGAAGACGTATGAAAAAGACGGAAATTTGAAGTTTTTATTTGTTTCTTTTTCTTCTAGAACAACAGCAATGTGATATGACAATTATTATTCCAATCGATAATAATGATGGACGTCAACAACCACCATATAATTTTTCACATCCACCTCGTTATACATCTGTATCAGACGACATGTTTAGTAAACCACCATCTTACGAACAAACTGTACACCAACTACTGGAGACTGCTGATAATAATGATAATTCAACAGAAAATCCTCCTACAACTCTTCCAGTTACAGCAACGATAACATCATCAAATAGATCGGTAGAATCGACAAGAAATCAATATTAATCTTACGTCTTTCGTGAAATAATAATACATCATTTTTACATTTTTACTGATTCTTAATATTAAGCGAACATTGTTAAAGTGCGACATCTTAGATTATATTTTTATTTTTTATGGTGCGCAATTTGTTAACGCACAAACTATTGTAAAATTAAGTTTTATCTGAAATTTTTTTTGTAAAATCTTTTAAGTCTATTTCTCTCATCCATTTTTTTCTTAAGCAGAGGTCATTCCATATTTTACCATCAAATCTAACATTAGCGAATCGTTGTTCAAGGGAGAAAAAATAAATAAATAAACAAGTCTTCCTTGTATTGACTTTCTTGTTCGAATTCTTTTAACAATAAAAGAAAAACAGAAAGAAACATGATGTCTATTTGTCAGTTCATGGTTAAAATAAATAAAAATATTCTATTCCTTATTAGTTAGAAGATTACGAAATTCTATTGAATAATCCATCAGTTACATTGTAGATATTATCTCTTTCATTGAGCATCACGCAAATAAAAAGATCACATCGTAAACAATTGTCAACTGCATGTATTAAAGTATATTAATACTAACAAATTCTCTTGTTATTGTTGTTATTGTCGCCTCATTAAGGCGTTCGATCTGATCAAATATAATTCATTTTAATAAACACAAATGAACGATCTCAGTGTTGAAGTAGGACATCCAAATGGAGCCTATTACAAAGTAAGTTATTGTATATTGTTTTTACAAATAAAACAATTTTATATAGGCATATGTGCATGATGTGGATGCAACTGGTATTGATGTCAAATATGATCAAGAGTAATTAATTAAATATTACATTATAATAAAATAACTACTATTGCTTTTTTTTTAGTTTCTTCCCTCCAACAAAAATTCCCTTTTCTGAAAATCGTGTTCGACTTCCACCTGAATCCGTTGATCTGAAAAAATTATCGCCTGGCGATCCATGCGAAGTATGAATAACAATTCATATATTAAAGCATTGAGATATATATGTATATAAAAATATTCTTTAGGTACTTTCAAAAGCAAAAGAAGATGAACCACTTGGTTGGTGGCCAGCTACTGCAAAAATGTTTAAAGGCGATTTTTTCGTTGTTGATTATAAAGTCAGTGCTCAAGGCGCTAGCTATTCGGATATTATATCTAGTGATAAAATTCGTTGTCCAAATACAAAGTATATTTTATAAATAAATATTAACAATTAATATTAAATATTGATTTGCTTTTAGTCCTCCGATTACTTATTCAATGTTTAAACGTATAGAATTACCTGTTCCTAAAGAGATTCAAGAAGCGTAAATTTTATTTTATTTTTGAAAATAATTAAATTCTTGTTTTTTTTTTTCGTTCTATCTTCATAGATGTAATAATCCAGCTAATCATAAAGATTTTAAACGAACAACTGGTGCTACAATTGTTCGATATGACAAACAAAATGCATGTCTTGTGGTTATTGTAAGTTAAACTTTTTGCTTATTATTATTTCTTCTATTTCTTTTTTCTTCGTTTTATTTAGTCAGAAAATGATAGTACTCTTCGTCGTGCTCAAATATTATCGGAAATGCATTTTCGAAATTTACGTTCAAAAGCCAAACTTGTACAAGAAACTGAAAAAGTTTCAAAACAACTTGAAGTAACATAGAACAATTCATATTAATATATTTTGAAGAAAATTCTTGTTTTCTTTTGCTCTTTCTTTCTATAGCGAATTATGGTTAATCAAACATCAAAATTTTTTGAAAAATTTACTGTAAAAACTGAGTTAATGGGTCTTGCCATTGGTTCACATGGATCTAATATAATAAAAGCACGCGAAGTACCCGGTATAACAGCAATTGAAGTTGAAGATGATACTTGTACTATTAAAGTATTTGGCGATGTAAGTAACTTTGTGAAACATGATTTAAAAGGTGTGTTGAAATATATAGAATAGAAATTAGCACCTCTCCTCCTCCCCTAGATCCTGACAAGCGTGCTCCAGAGAACATAAAAAACTATAGTAGATGCTCTGCAGAGACTATGACAGACACTCCCCAGAGATCATAACACACGCTTCTCAGAGGACGTAACAAACGCTAGCCAGAAATTATCAGGGACTGCAACAGACACTAGCTAGAGATCATTACAAAACCTTGACAGATGTTATTGGTTTACGATGGCAAACCGTATATCAATAGCAGCTCATTACAATATATTAACTACTTCCCTTTTGAATTTCTGGAAGATTAAGTAAAAGAAGAGTGAAGAAATATATCCCAAGATGCATAGAACAGAATAATCTTCCTGTGATTAGCAACATCCTGTTTCACATTTTAATCTCGCTGTGATTGGATTATTTTGCTAATGGTCGAAAATAGATAAGAAAAAAATGTTTGTTTTTTCTTCAGACTGAAAAAGCTGTTAAAGAAGCACGTAGTATACTTGAATATACTGAAGATGTGGTATCCATTCCACGAGACCTTATTGGTAAGAAATCATGCAAAAAGATAATTAAAATAAATTTGAATATTTTTTTTTTAGGAAAAGTTATTGGTAAAAAAGGTCATATTATTCAAGAAATAGTTGATAAAAGTGGTGTGGTTCGTGTTAAAATTGAAGGAGATAATGAACAAACACCATCACGTGATGAAAATAGTCATCCTGTATGTTTTGATAATTGAAACAAAGAAAATATTTATAAAAAGAATTTTGTTTTTGTATTTTGATAGAGTCAAGTTCCGTTTATATTTGTTGGTACAGCTGAAAGTATAGCCAATGCTCGAGTCTTACTTGATTATCATTTGGCTTGTTTAAAAGTATATATACATATATATCTGTTAACAAATTTAGATAAATCAAACATTTTTTCTTTGCAAAGGAATTCGATGAATTGCAAGAGAAAAAAATTCAAGTTAATGAACAATTTCGTACTATTGCTGGTCCACAGCAAGGAACTGGAATGAACGTAGCTAGTAATATGGGTTATCCAAGTGGACGACATCAACGGTAAGAAAAAAAAGCAATCAGAGAACTTTAAAATTGATGTCATGTAACTTAATGTAAATTATTTGATTCTAAGCGCCCTCCTCACACTCATCAAAAGTTCATTTCCGCCAGAATCATCGAACTTAAGATAAATGCATGAAAGAATAGATTGAGATTGGATTTTTCATAAATAAATATCATTATTCTCAAAGGAACTTCAATACAACCAATTGCTTCTTTCTTTTTATTTGAGAGAGCTGATAAAACTTCAGTACCCATCTGTTGATTTAAAAACCCACGCCCATAAATAGATGGTTATTATTCGAGACATTGAACTTCTCATTCTTTTTCTCCTCATAAAAAGTAAGAAAATAAAAAAGCCTCTGTCAGATATTGCAGTCTAACATTTTTTTACCCTTGCTAGATGAATGTCTCCCGAAAACGTCATGGTATAGGATTGACAATTTCATGCGATTTTACTATTCTTGGCCCAAGATCCATTTTGTGAAACACGGTCTAAAATGAATGTGCAAGTATAGGGGCAAAAATTTGGATCCCTTCGTTTTCTCCAAACACTCTAGTAAAGACTCGTCATAGACGTGACAAACATAATTGCAAGATTCAAGCTCACTGCCGGATTCGTATGATAGTTGTCTGTTACTTTTCTTTCACATTCACTGCAATATGTTGCCATTAAACCCTTGACGATGAAGCTGAAATATAGTAAATCAGATCTTTGCAATATTTGTTGCATTCTAACATCGATGCCTTTGGTAACAGCATTACATCTTCAATGAAGTCTAGTGAAGAAAGGTCCCTAGTGATATATCACTTTTAATTTGGGAATATTCAATCAATAGAATTTAGTCACTAGGTAAATACCCTAGAGTGCTTCGAGCTGTTGGGCCTTTATGGCTGAGATATCGAACTTTTTATGAATTTTTCTTGTAGAGCTCTAGTCGTTCAGGAGAATTCTACTTTTAAATTTTAACGTTAAACTTTGGTCACATAATGATTTCAATTAGACTATCTTGTAGAAAAAAAGAAATATTATTTAAATACTCATATCTTGGAGAGACTTTGTTAAATCAAACAGGCCTAGTAGAGGCCTTTATGCATGGAAAAGCTCAGATCAAATCGAATATTATGGCTTGCTTGAAAACTGGGATCCTGCAATAAAAGTCTACTGAAAATTCGATATCGCTGCAATGAAGGTCGAACAATTCGTACCATTCTAAGATTTTTACCTACTTACTTGGCTCTATCGATTGAATACAATTTCAGCTTAAAAGCAATTTATCATTTGGAGACCTTCCTTCGTAAATTTAAGAATTATGATTGTCAATCATTTTCAAAGTATACCATGTTAACTATGAATTTTTACTGCATTGGTTATAAAAATAAGTTTACTGTTGAAATGTTAATATGTTTCATCGTCGGCATATATTGACAGTAGCTAGAAATTGCTAAACAGAAACATATTGATTAATCTCTTCGTTGACAATATTAATAGCTACATTGTATTTCATATTTTAATCACAAAGATATTGCGCTAATTGCTTTTTGAAGGCGAAAAGGCCTTAAAAGATTTCACATCATGGAAGTATATCACATGAAGTCTTGATTTCAGTAATATTCTATCTCTTATTTTCATATACTTATCTTTCGAATGTACTAATTTATGTTAACATGAGATTTATCAATTGCTGAAACTTTAATTTTTCTATTCTCTCAATTTCAGTTATGAATTTGATCGAACGAGTAACACTGGTAATGTACGAAATTATCGTGATACAGGTTATCAACAACAATATCCTCAACAACAACGTGCTGATAATTATAATAATCAACAATCACGTCGATCAGCCAATTTTGCTGGTGGTAATAGTAGTCGTGGACGTCGAGGTGCTGCTAATAATTCATATCGTGGTGGTACACATAGTGATGCTGGCACTGGTGGTAAGTTTTAATCTAAAAAATATTATTTCGATAGATATTGTCCCGCATGAGAAATAAGGATAATCATATTTATCTTCACAGACGAAGCAAGCGAGTGTGGTGATGCAGCGTCATCGTCGGTTAGTACCAGTCGAAAACATCGGGACTGGTCAGCACAGGTCGATAGTGAACAACAACAAGAGGCTGGCTACAGTACAGACAGTATGATACATTCGGCTACACTACCCAGAGGTGCTGGTGGACGAGGTGGTCGACGTGGTTGGAAACGTGGTCGACCACCATTACCTATTCATGAAGGTGTGCATATGAATAAAGTCTGCTATTTTCATTTGTTTTTAACATTTTTTGATACATAACCAGATAATCGATCGCATGTTTCTAAACACAACACTTTTTATTGCTAATAACATAAGCATGTTTGCTGTATTTTAACGAAAATTTACAAAACTTCGATACTAATTTTTAATTCTTGGTTTCTTTTTAGGTTATGGTGATCGTCGTCGAAATAATGACAATGAAAATACTACATTTGATACGCAAGAAATAAATGGTTATTAAATTTTTAAAATTTATTTCAATATTTCATTTATTCTTTTTATTTTTTAGAGGGTCACCAACAGTATAATGATCAACATTCATCACAACGTTATCGGTATGGTGGTCCTCGTAGTAATCGTGGTAGTTATCGATATAACAATAACAATAACAATGCAAATGAATATTATGAAGAGAATTATAATAGCAGTGGACAATTACAACAAATGTCAACAAAAAAATCTCAACAAACTTCGTCGAATAATGGAATTGATACAAATACTGTAACAACATCAGAAACAATAAATGGTGGTGGTGGTGGATCGAAAGGTCAACGAGCGTCAAAACAACAGAGTAATGGTGTCAAATAAAGATTTGTTCAGAATAGGAAAAGTTAAAGGCAATTCACATGCTCGATTTCGTTTTTTTTATTATTATTCTTGTCACCTATGTGTGTGCGTGTGTGTGGTTTCTTTTGTTTTCCTGGTTGCTGCTTTCTCATGTTTTGTACATGCTTTTATTCGTCGGCTTGATTTCATCGTTATAAACGGAGTAAACATAATGACTAAATCAACATCTGTCTTCCAGCAACCAAATTATTAACAAAGGAAAAATCGCTCGTCTTCTTTTGTGATCCTTATCCTTTGACGTGTATGTTTCTTATATTCTTCTGTTCATTTTTCTTCTTTGTCCTCTAAAATCTAAACTCGTTTTTCTTTCCTACTACTGATGACGTTAATCATGTGTAAGTGTTTGTCTATATGTCGATTGTATTGCACCAGCGAACAATATGCATCGTCACATACATGAGAATCAAGAAAACTTCATTTGTTGTGTTCGTTTCTCTTTCTTTTTTTTGCTCTTGCGTTTTTTTTCATTGCTCTTTTTTTTCTTCTTTTTCGCTAAAAAAAACCAAGTATTAAAGACATACGAGATGGTGACATAGACAGAATGTATAAGTTCATAATATGTTTTCAATGATAAACAAAAGAAAAAAGGAAAGAGAATATAGATGATTATTTATTTAAACCATTGACGAAGAATGAAAGCTGAAGTAGGATTCAACAGGAATAATCTCGAATTCTCATTCGTAATAAACATTTTTTAATATGAATAATCGGTATGTATATATTATATTGCACTTAGATGTTCTTTTATCAAATATATCGGTTTGTAAAACGTATGGTATGGGTCATATTTTTGTATCACGTGACTCTTACAATCACGCGATAATGTAAACGAGTGAAAATAATCAAGAGAAAAATGGCCTAAGTTTTATTTTTATGGTAGAAGATACATATGTATTCCGTTTATATTTGTGTTATGCTTGTTAAAAGATTGTGAAAAAAGAGGAGGAAAAGAAAAAGTAGTTTTAAATGTTCCTGTGGACTGAATTCTTTCAAGTCCGCGTACGCTTCTCTCTATAAAAAAGGAGAATCATGTATCTTTCTGTATTCTAACTTCAACTCAGCCGACAACGATATAACTACACGTGCTTTGCTCCTGTTCGTTATAATTGACTTTGTCTATGAGTTTAAACGGTGGTGATCCACGTACATATAAAAGTAAGATGTTATACAGAGTATTCTTTGTTGTTTTAATATTGTACGTAATATTTCTAGAAATTCAGGATGATAACAATGGTGCTAATAATCAAAATGAATCATCAACATCAAATAATCAAAATATGAATGATACGAATAATTGTGCGAATCAAACAGATTCATCAACGTCAAGTACTAATTCATCATCGCAAATAACAAATAATACCAATTCATCTAATCGATCATCAAATGATCATGGTAAAACATGCTAAATGATTTCTTCAAAAACTCCTATCAATTACAAATCAAAATCAGTGCATCTTTCAGTATGCCTTATATAGAATACTTTCATGTCTTGATTTTTATTGTTTGTTCAATTTTATATTATTTAAATATAAAAAATTGTTTTTAAGACCAATGTTTTTTTTCTTTCATATTCATTATAGAAGTAGTTCGAGATTAGAAGATAATCATTATCATGTCAAAGACAACATGTTTATTAAATTAAAAAGACAAAGAAATGTTATTTCACATTATGAAAAATTCAATTATCATCTGTTGACATTTTGTTATTTCTTTATTTCTAACGAGTGATTTAAATCTTCAAAATTCTAGAATGTTTTTGTGATTGGTTGACTTTTTGTGGACGGTTTTTCTTTAGAGTTAAATAAGTAACAGTTGCTGCTGGTTTAAGTAAATGATAGAATATTTAACAAGCACTGTACGAGAAATTGTTGAGACAGGTTTTTCATTCTGTACTTAATTTCAACAATTACAAATCTGCTATAGTTGGTCTATGTTATCATCTGGGAAAAGAATGCTAATAACGATTTTATATCAATGATTAAACGACAGATTCATTATTGTATTACTTATCAATTCAACTTTCTAGATTGATAGAGATCTCTTAAATTTAATTCGATGACAAAAAAAAAGTTTTTATAAAGAAGATCTGTAATAATATTTATTTGCTATCTTAATAATTTTCAGTGAATTCATATCAATTAGTCATTGATCATAGAATACTAATCTATACTAATTGAAATTTACCTAAGTATTTTTGTAAGCAAATCCAGATTAACTATTTTGGGATAAAATTACAATCTCTGACATTGCTCAAGTAGTCTTATATAGATAAACAATAAATATACATCTATCATGTAAAAGACCTGCTGTAAAGAATATTGTCTGAAAATTTATTTCCTTCTTTTTTTAATAATCATCATTAAACGATATTCATAAGAATATTTCAAACAAAATATTTACGCAATATCTTTTTTTTCTCTTGAAATGACCTCACAACGTAAGCAAAAGATGATAGACAAAAATATTTGAATTATGCGTGATACTCGTATTCTTCGCATTAGAAAATAGCAAGAGATACAAAAAAGCCAATCCTCTTTTATATCTTCATTATTTTCTACTAAAAGGAGGAGCCAAATTTGACTCTTCACGATCTGTTAATCATATATCAGACAATGAAATATTATGTTTTGCGATGACAAAAATTGTGCGTGCAAATTCTGAAGTCATGCGTAATTAAACTCATGAAAAACAATAGATCATATTGTCTAGGTGCCATCCTTGACAAGAACATTAGTTTTCATTACAATTACCTATTTTATGAATAAGAATTTAGTGATTATTCTTTTCACCCTTATCTTCTAAACAATAATAGATTCATAAAACCTCAATTACATCTAAATCAGTAATAGACCAAATTAGATAAGATTTTTAGATGCTCAAACATTAATATATTCATCTGACAAGACTTAAAAAATATTGAAAGGTATATTCATATTCCAAATAGCTGCTTCGAACAGCGAAAGGAAACAACCTCTCGTCGGATTTTCAAGACAAACGTCACGTTACTTTACAATACGGCAGTCAGTAGCTATAACTGTGCATTATTTCATGAACAAACAGTATCCTTTTCTAACAATGTCTGAATTGTATATCACAATACCTAGTTAGTGATGATATCTAATAGTAAGATGCATTCATTGACCGACATCAGTAAGTCAAGTCATAGTTGATTTTAGAGTTTTCAAAAACAATGTTAACAACTGATCAATCACTATCGATTCCACATGATGACAACGAAGAAAAAAATTATAATAAAATGTACGTTTTGTTTTTCATGGAAATAGATTTTCAACCTGTATGCAATTTTGTTGTAGTTATTTGATTTTACTATTTTTGTTAATAGTTAAAAATAAAGTAGTATCGAATAAAAGAAAAGTCTTGTTGGTGTATAGCAAACACTTCATTTAGATCGCACGAATTCAAGAACATAATAATTTTACTAGTGAAACTTCTCTTGTCGCATCAACCACGATTTGTTCTACATTGATCTCGTAGAAAGTCGAGACCTTTTTCTTTCCAATCAAGAATCTTGACTGACCGTTAAGAAAAACTGCAACAACGTTCATTAGTGTATCGTGGAAAATATTTTGTTTTTTGCCAGTGGAGATGATATTTGTTTTTTGGAATTCCGTCAGAAGAAAAATATTCTCGCTTTCCAAAAAGATGAGACAACCCTCAATGTTCTTTGATTCAGGCTATCACTGTATAATTCTTATGGCAAATATTTTTCGCACCTAATATGTTTTCAAAATGTGCTAAATAGTTCTTCTAGAAATGAAAAATTGTTTAGCTAACGAAATCCTCCTCAAAGAAGTGAATTTTCGTTAGACTTATCGAAATGAAGATAAACATATGAAAAGAAAGCTCGATAGACATGATTTTTTATTTGACATTTCATTTCTTTTCGAAAATATTTCGATGATTCTCTGTTATCACTTAAATGAAATATTTGTTGTTTTCAGAAAAAGTAGGGAATCTTTTTCGTTTTTTATGTTTATGCTATTTGTGATCGTGCTTCCCAATATTCTCCAGGAAGCTGCATTGTAGACAATAGGGTTGGTTATGTTTGAAAGAGCATGTCAAGATGCAAGTCATGACTGTTTTTACTATTATATAGAAAAGTACTTTTACAATTAGAGCGCCATTTTTTTAGAGTTTTTCGAGACACTCAATTTGTCATCCATTTTTTCTACTTAAAAAGTAAGAATTAAAAAAAAAACTACAGTTCTGTCATGCCTTGCATCTTGACATGCCCTTTGAAACAAAAAAGAGATTAAGTATATACAATCAAGGCCTACGGAGAATTTCAAATTGTCACATGAGTTGTTTTTTACCCTTGTTTGTTGAATATTTTCTGAAAACATCATGGTATAATGCTGAAATTTTTAATATAGTTTTTCCGGTATAGCCCTAACATATTCTGAAATTTCATGAGACTTGAATATACGCAGTTCAAGATCGATTTTTGAGAGATAAGACCTTAATCAATCGTTAACTTCTCCATCATTCTTTATTAGATATATTACTCAACCGATCCAATCTCATTTTTCAGTCTAGGGATTCACATTGAGCATTATTATTCATAGATTATGAGTTATTTTTTTGAAATGAGCTTTATCATGTTGAAAAAGTATCAATTTTCTTTTATGATTTGTTTACATGTGAAGACATAATGTTTTATTTGACCAAGAAACGCCCACTATTATGGAGAAGAAAATTCTTGATCTTTTTTTCTTGTCTACAAATTCGAATTCTGAGCATATTCTTTATTTAAATGTAATAATTGATAATTGTTTGATTGTAATTAATTACATTCGAATATTGAAAAAAAGATTTTGTAGTACATTTTTTTCTCGAACTTTTTGACAGGGATTAATTCGCATTTTATCTTTCTAAATACGTATTCATTATGACCGAGAAAGTATGTAATACATATCCTTGATTCAAATTTTTGTATAGAC